GTGTGTGTGTGTGTGTGTGTGGTACAGTGTGTGTGTGTGTGTGTGTGGTACAGTGTGTGTGTGGTACAGTGTGTGTGTGGTACTGTGTGTTTGTGGTACAGTGTGTGTGTGGTACAGTGTGTTTGTGGTACAGTGTGTTTGTGGTACAGTGTGTGTGTGTGGTACAGTGTGTGTGTGTGGTACAGTGTGTGTGTGGTACAGTGTGTGTGGTACAGTGTGCTTCATATAGCCCGTTCTCACTCCCTCAGGGGGAAGCGCTTCGTGGCCATGAAGGTGGTGAAGAGCGCTCAGCACTACACTGAGACGGCCCTGGACGAGATCAAGCTACTGCGATGTGTGAGTGTTTCCTGTGCCCTGCATCTCCCTCACTGCTCTGGCTCCGTCTTCCTCATCTGAGGAGGCCTTTTCTCTGTCATTATATCACTAGGTACGGGAGAGTGACCCCGGCGACCCCAACAAGGATATGGTGGTCCAACTGATTGATGACTTCAAGATCTCTGGAGTCAACGGGATTCGTATCCTTCTTAGGAGAGAGAATGGAAGATGGGATGCAGGGATTTGGGGCAGCCTGACTCTGCAAGTGGTTATAGGTTATAATATGACAGCAGTGGAGAGTAACACTGTCGCTGACCCTTGACCCTTGACGCCTGCAGATGTGTGCATGGTTTTTGAAGTTCTGGGGCACCACTTGTTAAAGTGGATCATCAAGTCCAACTACCAGGGTCTCCCCCTGCCTTGTGTGAAGAGCATCATCCGACAGGTACTGTATGCCCTGACACCCTGTGGCACCGCGGCAGGCCGGATAGGGGGAGAAGTAAGATATCTGCATTAAAAATGCGGCGGGGGGGGGGGGCAAGAAATCCAATGCAGATGGAAGCTGACTGTACTTCACCAGGCCAGTTATGCCGCAGTGCCCCGTGGGCATCATAAACATCCTCCAGAACATTCTTAGGCTTTACTGATCCTTCTGCTGACAGTAGCTTTCAGAAGCGACGTCTTGTGCCTTCTGCAGGCACCATTTTGAACAAGTTTCAGAGGCTACCGTCGCTAATCACATGTGCTAAAGTGAATCACCCTGAGCACCCATCTACAAAAGTCCTAAGTTCTTGCCTAATGAGGAGGCCATGTGCAAGGATCTTCTGAACTGAGAGCGTCCTGTTTGTTCCCGTGGGACGGTGCACCCCCCCCCCCCCCCCCCCCCCCAGGTGCTGCAGGGGCTGGACTACCTCCACAGCAAGTGTAAGATCATCCACACGGACATCAAGCCTGAAAACATCCTCATGTGCGTGGATGATGCGTTCGTGCGCAGGATGGCCGTGGAGGCCACAGAGTGGCAAAGGTCGGGGGCCCCTCCCCCGTCTGGCTCTGCAGGTATGCGTTCTCTCCCCCTCACCCACCCATCCTCCACCTGTACCCCTCCAACACCCTGAGGCTCCACAGTTAAGCTGAGTGTGTTAGTTTACGCAATATATCCTCACAACTGCGTCTATGCAGTTCTGATGGAAGTATTTTATCTAATGTAAGATCATTTATAGCCACAGGAATGTTAGAGTCCTTCGGGAATTTCACCCTGATCTTGATCTTAAACTGTCATACTGTGCTGTAATTTTGTTCCTAAAAGTAGGATTTTTCAAAATGGGTGAAATGGGTTTTATACTTTTAACAAGGAACCTGTGATAACGGCTTGTATGTGAATCTCAGCATTTGTTAAATAGCATGCAATGTGGCATTCGATATGGATACAGAATGCAGTTTATAAGCAATATATACATTTATGTAGCAATGGGTTGTATGATTATGCATCATTGCATAATCTCCACTGAGTATGGTAGCAGAAGGACAGGAAATTACTGAAAAATGTAAATTGATATGTATTTCAATTGAAAGTGGTTGTATTCATTTTTAAATGTCATAACAACTGGGTTACGATCAGAAATGCTGACTGTATTTATTGTTTCTCCAACTGCCCCTCCCCCCTCCTACAGTAAGCACGGCCCCCCAGGTCAAGCCGGTGAGTATGTACTGCAGGGTCTTTGCACACACACACACACACGTTTGTATTCATATTCTTGTGAGGACCGTACTTTCATTTCTATGGGCGTAACCCTAATCCCAGCAATGATCCCCATATCCAGCCCGAACCTTAACCATAAGTAACCAAACGAAATACAAGACTTCTGGCATTTTTAGTTTTTTGATTGCAGTCACTGATTTTTATAAAAATTTAAGATTATATTGTAGGAACCTGAAAAATGTCCCCACAATGTTACAAGTTTTTATCACATTGTGGGGAAGTCTGGTCCCCACAATGTAATAATTACAAACACACACCTGCATGCACACAGACATCGTTTGTTAGGACCGTCTTAGCATCATACATATTCGGAACATGTCGGTCCCATACAGTCGTGGGAAGGCCAGATAAGGACAGGCTACGCTCCCCACTTAATTAGGCACCGTCAAGAAGGCCATGTTGTGTGAGAGACACGCTGCTCTCTTCCAGGTGGGCAAGATCTCCAAGAACAAGAAGAAGAAGCTGAAGAAGAAGCAGAAGCGGCAGGCCGAGCTGCTGGAGCGGCGCCTGCTGGAGATCGAGGCTCTGGAGCGCGAGGCGGAGAGGCAGCGGGCCAGCGAAAGCCAGGGGGAGGACAACGCAGAGCCCCCCCACCTGCCGCCACAGCCAGGGGTCGCCGCTGCAGAGAGTGACGAGGACGAGGATGAGGACGATGATGTAGAGCAGGAGGAAGGAGAGGGAAACAGGGAAAGAGGAAGGGCAGCAAGACTCACCAATCACAACTGTGAGTCGTCCCATTTGGACAGAAACGAGTCCCAGCATGCAGTTCCAGGTCTAATTCCTGCCTCAGATGTTTGGGGATACAAACTCGCGAAATATTTCTGTATTTCTGAATAATGCTGATTCTTTTAAAGGTAACATTGACCAGGTATATCTTTCACCCATTTTCCAAATTTAACAGCCAAATTTGAAGGGATCGGTTGCGTCAATAAATTACCATGAAACGAATGAGTTCCTGCCTCGTCTCTTGTACTCCACTGTGTGAACCTGGAAAGTGAGACATACCACTTGTCTGTGTGTCCAGGCTCTTCAGAAGTGCAGAAACCAGATGGTCCAGCCGACGTGCCGAGGCCTGAGGAAGGGGAGACAAAGAGAGACAGCCCTATAGCCACAGGGAAAGAGGATGGCTGCAGACAAAAAGAGGAGGAAGAGGAGGAAGAAGAGGAGGAGGAGGAGGAGGTGCAGGAGGTGGAGAAGGAGAAGGGTGGGGAAGAGAAAATTGCAGCCATCAATCCAAAGGTGGAAGAAGCTGACCCAAAGAAAGTACTGGCAGAAGAAAAGGAAGAGGATGGAGCCAGGGAAGAGGAGGAGGACGAGGAGGAAGAGGATGATGAGGAGGAAGAGGATGAGGATGCCGGTGAGACACAGAAGGATGCTCCCAAAACCAATGGTCACATGCTGCTGGTGGAGGAGCAGGTGGACCGCGGGGGCAGGACTCTGCTCTGCCCCCTGGTGGACTCTGAGCTTAGCATCACAGACCGTGACGCCTCTGTCAGCTCTTCCTGCGAGCTCTTCAACGGCGAAGCCCCGGTAATGGCCAACGGGGGCCGCCACAGAGCCACAGCACCCTGTTACCCCGAGCTGCCCCTGGACCCTGAGCCCTGCACAGCTGGACCAGCGCTGCACAGCCCTCCGGCCGATCGCAGTCGCACCGTCTCCTTTTCCAGTACGGGGGACGCACCTAAAGGTGAGTGGGCCGTGTGTCTCTGACTCACACAGTAACATCTGTAGTGAAGGGAAGGAATCAGCCTATCACCGTCATAAAAATGACCACCGTCTTTGTTTCGTGATATTCACTAGTGAAGGCTCGGGCCGCAGACCTGCTAATAAACCCCCTGGATCCCTGCAATGCAGACAACCTGAGGGTCAAGATAGCGGACCTGGGGAACGCCTGCTGGGTGGTGAGTGAGAAGCTGGGATCCGGGGGGGGGGGGGGGGCTTTCCCGGGGAGGAGAGGAGGACTCGTCGCTCAGCCTGTCTGTAAAGACTCTGCTCGTTCCCCCTGCGTCTTTCCCGCAGTTTCCTCCTATGATCTAGTCCTGCTGTTTAGGTGATTTGGTAGTTCTGCCCTAATGGTTTGGGATCAATGTGAGTGATTCCAGAGACCTGTCTGATATAGCACTTCCTTGGATGGATGGATGGATGGATTGGTTTTGCTGAACTGCAGGCTTTTTTGTTTTCCTCAGCACAAGCACTTCACCGAGGACATCCAGACACGGCAGTACCGCTCCATCGAGGTCCTGATCGGTGCCGGCTACAGCACCCCCGCTGACATCTGGAGCACAGCCTGCATGGTGAGCCGGTGGCCCCTCCCCCACGCTCTCAGTGACAGATACCGTCACGTTGCATCGTTTAACCTTATTGGTTGGCTCTTTTTGTAATATCATTTTAAAAAATTTCATCCAGGCATTTGAATTAGCAACTGGAGACTACTTGTTTGAGCCTCACTCTGGAGAGGATTATTCCAGGGATGAAGGTGAGTCATCTTATCTTTTGTGTAAGTACACATGCACACACATACTTGCACTAACCTGTGAGCCCAATTAAGGCTATAGATCGAATGGCTCTCACTGCTGTTAATGCTGTTATAAAAGTACAATTTATATAGATACATATGAGCTGACATTATGCATTCAGGAAAAGGAAACACTGACTGAGGAAGGATATGAATTTGTGCAGGATATGAATGTGATAGTGTGTAGGTTATATGTACAGCACCTTGCACGTGGATAATGATTCTTAACAGAATCAGCTTCTGTGCTCAAGATCCAGTCGTACTGTGAAATAACAATCATTTTTACCATCTGTCTATAAAGCTAGTCACTGCAGCCTATAGGGCTGCATAAATAGCCTGTCTCCCCACTCGTTCCCTGATCTACCCCCCCCCCCCCGCCCCCGTGTTCTGTTGTGTCAGTGGGCCCTGCTTCACGCGGTGCCCCCTGCAGTCTCCCCCTTCTCTGCCTCCTTTGTCTGCCGATCTCTAATAAGGTCTGCTTTGCGTGTCTTCTCCCGTCTGGCGGCCCAGAGATAACTCTGTAGCTGTAATACTCTGAGGCACAGAACGCGTCATCCTCTGTTTCTGACTTTAAGCGACCCTTCACAGTCACGCAGTTAATGGTTGTGTGGACTGGCAGCTTAACCCTAACGCAGCTGTTTGCACAGAGTAGGGCTGAGTAACACCTGCACTTAGAGGCCTCCTCTCTTGCCGTCTCTCTGCTTGGGCTCTCTGCTGGCCTGTGGTCATTAACACTCCTCCGTCTTCCCTTCCTCTCTCCTTCCTGTCCCCCGTTCTCCTGCCTCCTTTTCTCCCCCCACCCCCCAGACCACATAGCCCACATCATTGAACTGCTGGGTTGTATCCCACGACACTTTGCACTCTCCGGAAAGTACTCCCGGGAATTCTTCAACCGCAGAGGTAGATGTGGGAAAGCTGGCAGGACTGAGGGGCACGTGGCCTGCAGGGGGCGCTCACACAGATACCTGGACCACAAAGATCTTTATACTTTTTTTGGAATTTGCAGTGCGATAAAACTTTTATTTCAACATGTACTGGACTGTTTGAGCAAGATCGTAGGTTGGGGGCTTTAAAGAAAAAAAAAAAAAAACAGGGGCCTTCAACCATTATGTTAAATGCTCAGTACACTATTGTGCCATTTCTGTGTGTTTCTCTGAGTGAGCAGCCCGCCTCAGCAGCGGCGTGTCCGTCAGTCCCGCAGCTCGCGTGCATGTCCTAACTGACGTCAGCATACCTGTTCTGTCCATCGTCTTGTGCTGTGCCGTGTTCCTGCTGGGCCGTGTGGTGTCCAGACCACATTGCTCTGATCATGGAGCTGCTGGGGAAGGTGCCACGCAAAGTGGCCGTCGGCGGGAGGTACAGTCGTGAGTTCTTCACCAAGAAAGGTAAAGAGCACTGCCCCTGCAGGAGAGGAGGAGTAACAGCTCACTTGGAATAAACTTATTCTGCTTTATACCTTGCGTTTGGTCAAATGTACCATGTGATAAATAACTTAGTCATGTCCTGCTATAGGCTTGGGCGGTATGACGGCATTCCCCGGTATTTAGAAATCCCAAAGGTATTGTTTTTAACCTCACTTTAGTTAAAAAAAAAAAAAACGAATAACTCTCATGCATAGGTTAATGCCACAAGAAGAAATTATGCCCTGAATGCACAGTAAACTGTTAGAGCGCACATCATAAGTGGAACCTGTTGTGCATGTGGCCGCAGTCACTGTGCTGTCAATAATGAAGCATGAGCTTTTTATCTCTTAAACAAGTTGTCTCCTTGTCTTCCTGCTACTCAACTTGATCGAGCCTGTTTAGACTGTCTCTGATTCCAGTTTACAGTGTGATTTATGTTTTTTTTTCCCCCAAATACTACTGTATACCGTTTACCGGGGTGAAATGTCTAGGAGGTCAAACAGTATGAAAAGACGGGTACCGCCCAAGCCTATCCTCTTATAATAAATGGTACAGTTTAAGTGTAACTGTCAAACATCTGTTCCAGTTGTATTATTATTAGGGGGTAAAACACCCTAATAAAATGCAGCTGTTTTTTTTCCTCCTTGACCTCTTCTTCAGTTCAGTACTGAGTTTCTTCCAGCATTTCTGATCTGCTGGCCACAATACTGTGTGATTTTAGGGCCTGTTCGCACACATTAATAGGCACCTCTATTGTCCTTTTCGAAAGAATCTAAAGATTCCAAAAGTGATTACTGCTTGAGTTGTACTACTAGGATATGTTTCTTTTGGCCGTGTGTTCAGGGTCAGTTTTCACTGTTTGTTTTTCACAGGGTGATACCATCCCCTCCCCCCTCCCTTTGAGGCAGTTTTCTAACACTAGTGCTTCTCGTGTTGGATATCTGTTAGCTTCCCTGTATGTTCATTTCCAGCTGGTTGCCATCTCAATGTCAGATTTTCTATTGTTATTTTAAAATGTTACATTCTCTGTGCCTGTGTGTACCGTGTCTCTCTGCACTGCTCTGTCAGTCTCCGGCATTGCGTTTGTCTCTTATACTCTGCTGCCCCCTTTAGGAGAGCTACGGCACATCACCAAGCTAAAGCCCTGGTCACTGTTTGACGTGCTAGTGGAGAAGTACGGCTGGACTCCAGAGGATGCGGGTCACTTCACTCATTTCCTGTTGCCCATGCTGGAGATGGTGCCAGAGAAGAGGGCCTCTGCCGGGGAATGCCTCAGGCACCCCTGGCTGACTTCATAGCAGCGCCCCCCTGTGGCAGCTTCTGGAACAGCTACACTTCACATAGACTAGAAAGAAGGAAAGGGGTGGAAGAGCTAATAGGGGGGTGGTTTGTTTCTGGATCTGATCAGTTCCTGATCTGCCACCATTAGAATAAAGCGACACACATGCTGACAGACACGCACAACAGACAACTGCAGCTTTGCCTGGTGTTTCTGCAAACTCCAGCAAATAAGTTATCAGTGTCTCCCGTCGACCTGTCATTTCTATGTGTGATAGACAGTTTCTCAACCTGTCTGTCATATGAATGTTACAGACAGCCCCTCAACCTTCCTGTCTGTCTATCTGTGTTACAGACAACCCCTCAACCTGTCATATCTAGGAGTAACAGAAGCTTCTCGACCTGTCTGTCTGTCTGTCTATCATGTCTGTGTTACAAACAGCCCCTTTGACCTTTCATATCTATGAATAACAGACAGCCTCTTGACTTCTCTGTCAGTCTGTTTGTATATCGGTGTTAGACAGCCTTTTGACCTGTCTGTCATATCTGAGTAAGAGACAGCTTCACAACCTATCAGTCTGTCATCTGTGTTAGACAGGCAATCGACCTGTCTGTCTTATCCGAGTAACAAATGGCCTCTCATCCTGTCTGTCTATCTATGAGTAACAGACAGTCTTTCTGCCTGCAGGTCTGTCTGTCATAGTAGACTCAACCTGTCTGTCTTATCTGTATTATAGGCAGCTCCTTGACCTGTCTGTCATATCTATGAGTAACAGCCTCTTGACCTGTCTGTTTATCATATCTGTGAATAACAAACAGCTTCTTGACCTGTTTATCATACCAATGAGTAACAGATGCCCTCTTGACCTGTCTGTCTATGAGTAACAGACGGCCATTTTACCTGCCTGCCTGTCTGTCTGTCTATCTGTCTGTCGTATCAGCATGACACAGCTCAGCATTTGCCCTTCTCTTCCTACCACAAGGCAGATTAGTATGGCACCTACCCCTCAGCCTTCCTACTCTTCTCTCTCTCTCTCTCTCGGTTAGCTGGTCGTTTATGCCACAGACAGCTAGTGCATAAGAGTCCCAGAGTTAGACAGGAAACAACGATGCAGGGGGAGCGACTAAGGCTGCATTGGGTGCTCTTGGTACGTCTTCACTCACATGGAGGGTGGAGCAGAAACAGGCATGACGGGGTGTGTGGCGAAGCTTCAGGCATGGAGGACAGCGCCTGACGGATTTCAGTCACAGCCTCCGCTATCACAGAGGTCTGTAAGAGACACTGGCCAACAAAATATAACGTTCCTGTCCTACAGAATGGTTGCCTCTCCATTTCAGACCATTGCTGCCAGATATAAGTATAGAAGATGGCCCATACCTCTTTCAGAAATGGTAACATCCTAGCAGGAAAACGACCAGACTGTTTACTCTTTCCTGTTTTAACCGTAAGCAGCACTGCCATGGTTGGAAAATGAGATTTGCCCCTGAGGGTCAGCACAGCCCCCCTTCCTCATTTCCTGTGGAACACGAGCGCTCTGTCAGGATGTCTCCAGCCCCGCCCACGCCCACGCCCCCGTCTCCCGCGCCAGAAGGCTGTGGTCCTTCCATCAGGATGGCCGCAGTACTGTCTAACTGTTTACACTCCAGAGTCCTTACATTTCTTGAGAACTGTGCATCCCGTTTCAGGCTGCCACAGAGGAAAACAACCCCCGCCCACTAGGGGGCGCCCTAAAAGGACACTGCTTAGGCAAAGATGTGCAAAAAGTTCAATTTAGTCATATTTGTGGCTTTTCTGTGAAAAAGACTGATATGAAAGTTGAGAAAGGATGCTCGAGTGAACAATTCAGTGTGTTGCACCAGTTGTTTTGGTCTGTTTGTTATATATATACATATATATTTTTAACAGGAAGTAGCCACAGTGTCTGTGGAATCAAAGAGTAAGGACATCTAGCCTGCCCCCAGACCTCACAAGCTCCGCCCCCCGACCACCAGGCCACCCCCACCATTCCAAGGCCCCTCGCCCTTCCATTTACATTTTGAATTCCAGATCCTGTGACATTATTGTACTTTTTTCCTGATGGAATGGCATGATAACCTTTTCAGTGACCTGTTTTCTGATCCAGATAGGCTGCCCCAACACACCTTTCTCCCATCCTGCCCGGTTGACTCTTCTCCAAATCTTGGATTCCTGATTGACTTTTCCACATGTATTTTCCAAAAGGAGGTTGCACTTGTCTTGTTCAGGGATTAACTTTGTACATAATACTGAGATACTGGTATGCTGATCAGAATGAAGACGTGATGCTCGCATCGTTTTGGAGGAGGCCCAGTTTAGTCATCAAAGGATTTCCACGGACACCCAGATCAACCCCTCCCCCCCCATGCTTTTCTGGGGTGGACTGGGGATGCAGTGGTATAGAGAGCGAGTGGAACCACCAAGCGTGCCTCCCTGTGGCCAGCAAGGGAACTGCGGTCTCTCAGACTGCAGCCTTCGGTGCCAAGAACTCTTCCACTCCATTCCATCTGTCACGCATCATGATTAGTGCAGTTGCCTATTTTCGCAATAAATCAATATAAGTAGATAGTAAAATATTTTTAAAAGAAACTTTAATTTAAAAAGAAGAGAATTTCTCTGATATTGTGACAGTGACCGAATTATGTCCGTGCTGAGGTGATTGTGCTTGTCTGTTAGAGATGTTTTTATTTCTTTAATTATTATTATTATTAGTTTCTTTTTTTACTTGGGCATCACCTCTCCCTCTTCTCTCATGAACAGTGCTGCTCTTTTGGAGTTTACGATAATACTCAAACATTTTTGCAATAATGGTAATCACGATGAAATGAATTTTGCACCAAATGCTCTTGATTTCCCTCTCAGCCATGCCGACTGTTCTTCTGACAGAATTGGTTTCTTCTGTGTTTTTCGTTGACAGATTTAATAAAGTTGTAAATTAAACTGAATCCCCAGGGGCAGCCTTTGATCCATTTCCGCCGGCTGTTCGTGCTGTTGTGTCTCATCCACTGTATTGCTTCCCTCTTGTACATAATGTAAATATAAAAGTAGTGGTATAATAAAGACTATGGATCTATATCCTTGTATTCTACAAAAAGAGGGAAGATATTTTTTAATATCCCCCTTCTGTTTTTTGGCACAGATATTGTCCGTTTAGGTAAAAACTCCATGGGTTACATGCATTGTTGGTTTATAAAGCCTGATGTCAGTTTCCTTTCAGATGTATAAAATATCTAGTGTTTTTCAGCCTTAACATGCTATTTTTTTTTCTTATTTTCTTCCAGATTCTTCTTAGCAGTGGATTGTGTGTGTATAGTTCGCATGGTCGCAATACGCTGCATTGCTTTCCTCTCGCAGTCCAAAGACATGCATATAAGCCAAAGTGCAGGTAGCACATGACAGTGTGCGATGGTCTGGCATCCCATCCAGGGTGTCCCCCAGCTGCCATCATTAATTGTGATTTCACAAACTGGCATGACTTTTCTGAAGTGATACATTGTTATAATTATTCATGTCCCAGTAATATGCAGTCGTGCAAAGAGAAAATGTTTTCCTTAAATTGCCTGTAGTTTGACCTTTGACAATTGCTCCTATAAATAGTGTGATCCTTTAACATATTATGTTAATTTATACAACCAAAATATCTTCATTAAGATGCGTATAATTAACCCTTAATTTAAAAAGGTGCTTCAATAGGTGATGGGTGAAAGTCTGAAAATCCTGTGCAGTACTGTGACTCTTTATAAAATTTATAACATTGTAAAATAGGTAACATCTTACGAAAACGCCTGGTCCGCTTTATGTCCACCAGAGGGCGACAAAAATATAGCAAAGTTTATGAGTCAATAATGAAGTGCTTTTGAGCGTGTGATGATTTCCTGGTTATATGAACGAGCGGCGGTACGCAGTGCTGGGGCTTCAACGTTCATCGCGGTGCCGCAGCGCACTTTCGTATTTTCGGTATTTTTGCAGAGCTGTGCCTAATCCTGATGTCTGCGGCTTTGGTGGGCCGAACGATTCCGATCGCCAGTATAAACAAACACCGTAAAAAAAAGAGGCGACTCGTAATACTTAAAGTACGTATTCATTTAAAATCACGTTTTAACGTTTTTTTTCCCCCCAGAAATATTTAAAACATTTTATTGTATCATCGATTAAAAAAGTAATGCATTTTCCCTTTAATCAACTGTTCTTTCGAATGACCGTCATAAATTTTATATTTAGTTTGTCCTTAACTAATTAGCATATGTGCTGTTATCTGTGACACTTAAGAACAGAAATCTAACAATGGACTCCTGGGCAAAAGCTGTTTATTGTACCGCATTAATGGGTTTGGGTTGGGTTTTACTAGCCATAAAAATAAGAGGTAACGTGAGTTATTTAAAACTAGGTGTATTTCAACACTATTTAGTTCCTATGAACTGTATAATCTCAATATCGACGTTATTTTGAGTGATGTGACAGAGTCTGTGGCGCAGCCCTGGATGTTTCTGACTTCGATCCCACACTGTGTTTGGCTGAGCAGAGTCTGCTGTGCTGCGGACACCGATGCAGATGGGGCAAAGAACCAAGCAGATGGCAGCCAGCAAGCCCCCCCCCAAGGTGCAGCCTTTGTGTCTTGCAAGCAGTTCAAAGGTGGGAGGGCAGTAAATGCATCACTGATGCTGGGCTGCTAATCACCTTTCAGGCTGATCGCTCATGCAGATACTGATGGCTTCTAGGTTTTGGTTGTGATGGGTATGCTGTTTGCTAATTATGGGATGTATTCCCTGAGCTTGGCAGCATGTGGTGTGGTAAAGTTGAAGCATTCTGTACTCAGACTGCCATATACCCATTGCTGAGCAATGTCACCATGACCCTGTGCTGGATGAGTAGCTATTGAAGATGTAGATGAGATTTACTCACGTCTTTTTCACTAATTTACGTAATAAGCACCTCATATTTCAGTCTTGAGCCTGGTTGAGTTTCATTCCCGATGCCAATCAGCCTTAACCCACTGGCCACTAACATCCAATAATATCCCTCTGGTCTATAACAAAATGTACATAATGGTACCTTCCCACCACAGGTAAAACAGCAGCAGTGTCCAGGGGTGTAGAGTCCCAGCCTGCAGCTCATAGCCAGCAATTAGCTGTGACGTGTGGCTAACCTTATCAGGGGTTGTACACGCAGCTCGCGGCCCACAATGCCATGGGGGATTGTCTCAAAAGGTTGGGAAAAAACATAACTGCAGAAATGTAGAAGTTTCCTGGGATGACCATCTTTCAGATATCTCTGGGAAGGCAGGGAGTGGGGGGGGGGGCAGAGTGGCATGTAATTTATCTCCCTCGAGGATGGAGCTGCTGTGCTCTCGCCCCCTTCCTGCTCCTCACCCTTTTGAGCAGGACACTCTGTTCCCATGGCAACCCGGACTCCAGTCACTCATCCAGCTGCAGATGAGCTTGCGGAGGGGGTGGGGGCGCAGTGTTGATGACGGGTAGGGTGAAAGGGAAGGAGATGGGGGGAGTCAGAGAGAGAAGGAGAGAGGGAGTGTGGGGGGGTCATGGGAGGGAGGGGTGGGAAAAGTCCAGAGGGAAAGAGAGAGAGCCACATAATCACAGAGTGAAGGAGAGAGAGAGAGAGAGAGAGCGGCAGAGTGCAGGAGGAGGAGAAGGGTATGTAAGCGAGGGAGAAGGTGCAGACACTTTAGCACCAGCACTAGGAGACACGGGTTCCCCTCCGCAGAAGGTCCAGCTTTTCCTGCGTTTCCAAATTAACTTTGCTGGAAAAAAACCCCAGCGAGTGGTCTGGCCGTGTGGGAGGAGAAACCGGGGGGCCACACTGAGTTTCTGACCGGAGCAGAGCTAGAAGAGTGAAAAAGCCAGGCAGAGCGAAAAAGAGGAGAGACGGCAGCTGGCTCCGGGGGGAGATCGTGCCAGTGGATGCTGCCGCCGGACGCAGTATCAGGTTTCAGAAAATGAGAGCCCACTGCAGCGGCATTCCTGCAAGGTCCCTCCGGCTGAGCGAGGTACGGACGAGCCAGGCGTCTGCGTGTGCTGAGGGACGGCAGTGATGACTTCCTTAGCCCTTAGTCGTGACGGTGATATGGACTTTATATGAAGCGGCCGTCAGTGTGAGCCTGAGCGGGAGTTTGGGGCCGTCCGTCACTGCGAGGCAGCAAGCCGCGGCCACTGCATCACTGCATATTATCACATGTCGTCGATGAAAGTGTGTGTGACAGTGTTCAACAAAATGCGTGTGTGTATTTGTATGGGTGAGAAATCCCAGATGTGTGTATGTGTGTATTTGTTTGTCTGAATGTGTTTATAGAAGTTCAAGTTCTTAGAAGTTTGTTTGTGTGTGTGTATGTGTGTGTGTGTGTGTGTGTGTGTGTGTGCGTGCGCATGAACATTTATCTTTTTGGGCATCCTATGCAACGTGTGCATGCATGTGTGTTTATATGTGTATCAGAGCATGTGCTTGAGTATGTTTTTTGTGTATGCATTTATGTGAAGAATCTGGGGTCTGTGTGTGTGTATGTGTGTGTGTTCATCCTGTGAGACATGTGACTTTATTCACACGCTAATTTGAACGCCCTGCCTTTATCGCCTCTCGCGTTTCCCAGCCTCAGTTTGCAGCTCTTCCTGACTTTCCATTGTCCCCTTGCCCCATCTAGTCCTTTGTCTCAGGGTTCATTTAAAAATCAAAACAAGCCAAAGAATGTATATGTGACTGCTGTTGGCTTGGGGGGGGGGGGGGGGTATCTGATTTTAATGAAGTTATGTAAGGACGTTTTGAGGGCCCGGGCCTGTGGTGAGGGTGTGGTGTTCATGTGGGGGGGGGGGGTGCTGAAGGGATCAGATGGACACCAACGTAGGTCCTGAGAAATGTACAGGTGGGAGGTGGGGGTTGTTTGTCAGATTCCTGTGTAGGTGACGAAGCCAAACTTAACATCACAGGCTTTCTTTGTAGTCAGAGAGCCAACTAAGTGGATATGCAACAGGATCTATTTCCCATATCAGTACAATGGCGGTTCCTCCCTGCCTCCCAGAGGGGTCCTCGCTCTTGCTCTGAACTCGGAGCTGCATAGTTTAGCAGAGGAGGGTGAATGAGCTAAACAGGCCCCAGCCCTTTAAGAGCGTAGGGAATAAAGCCCCCAGTGTCACTTCCCAATCAAAACCTCAGTGTCTTCACGCCTGCTCTTAATTCTCCACAGACTGAATCTGTGGTGCTGGTACAGCGGCCACACCGACCAGGAGAACGTTCCAGTAACCTTGTGGCCGTGGCATGGCCTGTTCGGGACATAGGGTTCGTGCCGTTATGGCTCCCAATGCCAGACTTTGGCAGCAACTGTAGGGAGAGGATCCATTCCGCTTTGCTGGTCACTTTGCTCTGTCGCACATGGAAGTGCTTCATAATGCACAAGCCAGACACTGAAAGGAAGATTTGAGATGCTAAATAATTGGACAGGGAATAGCAGACAAAGGCTGGTCTGTTTGACAGTAGATAGGAGCGGTGTTTACAAATACCCTCTGGAAGGATTATTTCTGAACAGGGCAGCCTTCAGAGGAAACACTAGTTTTTCCACATTTAACTCAGTTTATCCGATAGAGCCTGCAGTGCGGTTTGATTTGATTATTGTGTTTTAATGTGAAAAATGTGGCATGTACGTTAAATGTAGAGCTACAGGAAGAGAAAACCACGCAGCGAGATTTCAGTCCATGCCAGACAAAAGGCCATTCTATTAAGGTTATGGATCTGAAATTCCATTTTATGCTTAGTCTTAAAGCTTAAATTACTATGTAAAGCAAAGAGTTTGCCTAAGTTATTTTTTCCATTACTGCTTATGTTAGTTGCACCTAACTGATCATATATTTCAACATACACAATGATTGTCTGCTCTTTCTGATTGAGAGATTGCAGTGATTTAATTTCCTACATTGAGGCCTATACATTGCTGTACAGCAGTGTTTCCCAGTCCAGTCACAGACAGTCTATGGTGGGAGCTGAGAGGGAGCAAAAATGTGGACTGTCTGGCAGGGAGCTGAGAGGGAGCAAAAATGTGGACTGTCTGACGGAGCTCAGACGGAGCAAAAATGTGGACTGTCTGACGGAGTTCAGACGGAGCAAAAATGTGGACTGTCTGGCAGGGAGCTCAGACGGAGCAAAAATGTGGACTGTCTGACAGGGAGCTCAGACGGAGCAAAAATGTGGACTGTGGGTCCCCAAGGACTAGACTGGGGATTACTGCTGCACAGGCTTTTTTGCCTTAATGTTTATGATTCATCATGTCATCCTGTTTCTGACATGGGTGACTCTTAACTGGTTAGTTGCTTGTCATGTGATCTCCACAGATTTTTTAGCAGCTTGCGTGGTCATTTGACACTATATGACATTTACATTCCCATAACCCTCAGCCAATGCTGACTCCGAGACCAAGGCTGGAAACTCCAGTTTATTATCCACTAATCTGTGATTTAGAGCCTGTCCCTGGAAGGACAGCCTGTAAAGCTGGCGTGATCCTTAGACAGGGAAACAGGCCATTTTAGAACGACAGTCTGGTCTACTTTAGATATAAGCAGTCAGAGGGTAGAGAACCGCCCAAGAGCTCTGTGCTTCCACTGAATGGTCTCCAAAGGTGATTTAGCTACCATACAGTATTTTTGTCAGCAGTTGTTGAGATTTTGGACTGTTTTCTCCTGTGATCAGACTCGAGGTCTGAGTTACCTCTTTGACTTTTGTACGTGTTATTTACTGGTGATTTGTTCGCACACTCCCAAAGCCATCAAGAAGAGGATGCACTGAGTGGCTTGTGTCTTTGACTTTCTGCTTGGACTATGGTTTGTGCGTCAATCTGGCTATAATCCCGATCTTCCATAATGCTGTGATGTACATGGCAATGACCAGCTCAGGATGGAGATTGTGGCAGAGGTCACAGCCTTTATAAGCTCTTGTGCCCCAAATGCACATAGTTATCCAGTACTTTAGAGTTGTCGGTGGGGGGGGGGTATTCCCAGAGTTGCCTGGTAACTTAGGCACCCAGAGAGGAAGGCCCAGAGGTTCCCATGGTGAGGGGGTGGAATGCTGTCCTGCCTCATGGCTGGGGGAGCTCCTGCTGGCCGGTGGGAATTCTGCGACTTCTGCGGAATTATGCACAAGGAGATCAGGCCGCAAGCCTTCATTATCAAGATGTCCGCCTCTCCTCTTTCCCTGTTTTCCTCACTGTCTCTCCTCCTTCCTTGTCCTCCCTGTCCTCCCACTCTGCCCTGTGCCCCTGTCCTTCTTCGCGGTTATTCCCCCCAGTCTCAATTATCACAGCTGCGAAAATACCAGGCTCAAAAATGTTTCTGAATTTCACTCCTTTAAAGATTAATCACCGTGTCGATAGTTAGAATCATGGTGTGGTCCAGAAGATGATCGTAACACCCAAGAAGCTGTTTGGATACAGGTGTGAAATAAAATACTTGGAGTTGTTGGGCTATCCAGACCCTGGCCTCCTCTCTTCGCCGACCATTTCTTGGTCGTTTACCCTGTATCCTCATCCAGAACAACTTAAATGGTCTAGATTTACGATTGAGACTTTAGGGTTACAATTCAAAAAACTTTAGACTCTTAATTGCACAGTAATAGTGTTTAGTCCAATAAAAAAAACACATGGCTCAAGAAACAACTGCAATTATCTGTTATGAGTGTTCTGGATGCAACGCTTTATGGATGTTTTTATAGCAGGGGACAAAAAAAATAAAAAAACATCAGTAGCATTGTTGATTATCGTGTCCGGAAGATGGTTTTCCCAAGCTCCCGGAGTGTGCAACTCCCAGGGGAATACTGGGGAATTATAACAATCCTTTGGGAAAAGGCCACGGAAGAACAGTGGTGGGAATTCTGTGACGAAATCCCAGGAAAACAGTCATTAAAACAAGGAGAGTTCAGGCTTCTCTTGCCCACAGGAACAATTTTAGGAACTCAGAAATAATAGACCTTTCCTCGGTTGTTTATGTACCACAGGATGGGCAGTTAAATAGTCCCAGTTAAAGCATATTGTCATAGATACAGAGTGTTTGTCCAGATTCGGACCGAGTTTCAAATAACCATAGATAAACCGAAATTGTGTGTAACATAATAATGAGGGATGACTTACAATGGCGAGAGTAACAGTGACAGACCGACTGTGGATTGTTGTGTCTGTGAGCATCAGTGGATGTGTGGTTCAGTCGCCTTCCCCCTCACTGCATCTTGGCCTGACGATTTGTGATGCAGCTTTTCTCTGTCGGATTCCGCTCCTGCAGTATCTTCCACGTGTGGCAGACACGGTAAAAGCAGCCATCTCCTCCTTGACATCTTTGTCAGAAAGGAGATCTTCTGAATATCGAATTACAAAGGTTCTCGGATTAGTTGCTGGAGATGTCCTCTCTCTTTCTTAGCGATGATTAGCTGTCCATTATGAAAGCTTAGTCGTTTGACCGTAAGTGGTTAAATTCTGCTGGTCTGCTCAATAGGAATGCACGATCATCTGCATGCACCGGTCTCACCTGAGATCCTGCCAGGGATGTGCAATGTGGACGTGGCACCTCTCCTGTTTCTCTTGGGGTTCTGATGGCGCGACACCTTCTCCTGGTGTAAGGGCCTGGGATCCAGCCCTAGCCAGATAACCACGTAACATTAGGATCAACGCACAAGTCTTCAGAGCATTTCTCCGTCAGCGTTTGACTCTCCCTGACCTGCCACCATTTACTGAGTTGAGTCAACGGAGTGACAGTCTGCCTCAGGCACAGTAATGATGTGTACAGTAGCCTTCATATCAGTGCACAGAGAGCCTGTGATCACATTCATTTCTGGATGTGTGTGGTCATGTGATCAAATGGGGCCAGCAGATCAACTTCTTTCATCAAGGCTTTTATGTGATTTTTTTGGATCGTGAGGTTGGGTTGTGTATGATGGATTGTAGAATCCCACTGTGTGCTCTGGACATCCTGGGAATGGACCCAGGATCATTTTTACTTAGATGGTTCCTGCTAACAAATGGAT